TATTAATGCATCAGAAAATGTGTTAATTTTTTTTTTTTTACATAGAAAAACATTTATCCTTTGAGGTGATTCCGTTTGCTCAAAAATTGAATACAAATTTAATTAAAATACTTTCAAACGTTTTTTCCTCCTCGAAAAGCTTTACATGTGAAAACATTTTGGAGATAAATTTTGGATCGTATTAAAAAATGCGTGACTTTGACGCGATTTCACGTTTTCTCCGAACCCATTCAGATGAAATAATTCATTTCAAAAAAAAAAAAAAAAAAAACAAACGTGGCTCTGTGTTCGACAAAATTGCAACAAATTGCAAATCGCTATCGCGCGCTCTTTCATTGTTGTATTCGTTTTCGTTGCGTGCTTTTGCGCACAACATTTTCTACTTTCTATTTTTCTTCCTCAAGAAATATTTTTTGCAAGAACATTTTCGCGCAGTTCCCCTTTAATCTAATCGGAGCCCGAGAATGCCGCCGCAGCCACTATGATTGATGCGAAATTAAATTGTATTTTGCGAACAAAAAAACAAAAAAAAGCATTTTCCCGTCGATGGCTTTTGCGCGGGATGAGACGAAATCGTCATCCATAATTTCTTCGATTCACAGCCGGTTTTATAATGGTTTCGCCGTTAATTACAACAAGTGATGAGCATGACCCGGGGGAATTCCGTTCGACAACTCGAAAGTCAATGGGCGTAATTGTGCAACACGATTACATACACCTGTTATTTATTCCACAGCTCGCGATTTATTTACTCCCCGATGATTCGCAGTATTATAATGCGCGGTATTGAATTTTAAGCCGGAGTTACGCGCGCATAAAGCGGAAGCTGCGTTCCCTAGAATTGATAGGGCATCCTTCGTAATCCGATACGCGAAACGCGTTTATACTTGATCAAAAGCCAGACAAGTAGAGCGCGCGCGCGCGCGCATCGATGTAACATAACTGCTCGATCAACGTACCCGTTTACGGGGGGCCTAGTTGAAATCATTACCGTCCGATAATTAGAATTGCGATCGATGAAAATTTCACGACAACAATTCATTCCGCGGGCGAGGAGTTCATTTATTTTAAAAAAAATCCTAAACAATACACCCGTTCTTGATTTTAAACGGCATAAAATACGAATCTCGCAGCCGTGAAAATATAACCCGTTATATATCAGGCGGAACAATGTCACTATATATGTCGATATAAGAGTAGAAAGGTATTCATTTTGTCAGAGAGAGAGAGAGAGACAGAGAGACGTGGCCAATAAATGGCGAGGCTTTGTCACTCCCGGTGCTTTGCCAAGTTTGCGAAAAAGTTTTACGCGCGACAGGTGTTTCGTGACGTGTATTTCCGCGCGAGTCATTTTACATAAAATGCTTTTCTTATCGTGATGCATGGTTAGTTTGCATAAACGGCGAAAACTTATGCAAGGATTCGAGGCGATGCGCGGAAGTACGTCACACTCGCACGTGCGCGCGCGCGCGCGCGCTCGCCGCGAGTCCTGTATATATATATTTACAAGACCGGGTTTCAAATTATGGCTTTAAAGGGCTTTCGTAAAATCCGCCACTTCCGTCTAACCTGAATAATTAAACTTTGAGATTGAGTGGAAGAACGAGCATCAAGAAAGAAGAGGTTTTAAATTATACGCCCGTTAAAGCAAATATGTATTACACGAATCTCCCATTACTTTCAAACGATATTATTACTCGAGGACAAACGAGATCTCGCGAATAGCGAACATGATTTCTAATTAAATCCCGTCCGCTCTTGTTAAATGAATCAAGTGCACATTTTTACACAAAAATTCCGTTCTTTTATTTTTCTCCACCCGTTCGCGGGTACTTTGTACCATTTTCCATCGGTCGGCTCTCGAATTAATTAAAATCGCGACACGAAGAAAACGTCGCGGGAAAAGATAAACTCAGGACAGGTCTCTCTCGGCGCGGTGCACATAAAAAAGCCATTTTGCCACAAAGTTGTTCTCCTTTCCGTGATGTCGCGAAACGAAGGAAGACGAAAAATATACAGTGTGCATTATATACATATATATATATATATATATACATCTCCCTCCTCTGTTCTCTCCGACCGCGCCAAACTTCACGAATAAGTGGAGCACGGATAAAAGCAAAGTTAGTAAGTGTATAATTAACAAGTACGTTAAGAGAGTTCAAACTTAAAGAGTATTCAGAAGTGGAAGTTAGGATATATACGGACATCAGCGGCCCAAAAGAGCGTGAGACTTACGCCTTATTACGAGAACGAATTCAAATACAGAAGACGTAAAGTGAACAAGCTTAAGATGGCGTGTATAAACTGGCTAATGATTATACATATCACAGCAAGAGAGCATTCATGTTTCATGATTTTCTTGCGATACGCCAGCCGTTGTCGGGGTATTTCCCAAAGTTTCTCTCACAACAAGAAGAGTCGTGATATTATATCTCAGCGGCTTCTTATTCGAGTTAACGCACATACGTATATGTGTGATCCACACCGTGTGTTTCCATCGGAAACGATATATTTGTACACGCAAAATCCCGCGTGCTCGCGATAATAAAAAATTTTTTTTTTTTTTTTTCACTTCTTCGAGAGTTAAGCATACAAAACTCTCGGGAGAGACATTCTTAATATAAATTTCAACAATGAGGTAAAAACTTTCTCATCAATCCCGCGGAGATTTGATCCTCTCTCGTTTCACGTCGCAAATACTTTCGGTGACATAAAAAATAAAATAAAATAATAACGATCTCGAAGTAGTTGCAAAGTTCGCTTCGAAATTGCTCTTTGAAATTTCGGAAAGCGGTTGTCAGGATCCTCGCGCGATCATGCAGTCCAGAATTAATTACTTCGATTAGAGGACGGGCTGTCATTGCGAGAGCGTTTCTTGCGGCGCGCTCGACCCCGGAGGGGAAACCCCACGACACGACCTTATCTACCTCTCGAAAGGTCCAACGTTCGATCCATTGACTCGTCGAGACCCTAATACGGCGCACGGAACTGACGTTGGCCGATAGGTCGCTTGTGTCCTGGAATCGGGCACTGATCGACGTCCGGGTACCGGTATGTGTGTACGTACATACATACATACATACATGCATTCGCCCGAGACAGACTATCCGTCGCTCGACACGTACGCAAACGGTAGATTGCCGCTGTCGGCAGGACGGCGCTTTAAATCAGCTGCACTCGTTGTCGACGTTATACGTTTCGCTTCTCTCTCTCTCTCTGTCTCTCGCTATTCCTCTAATTCGAATCTCAAACTCCGTCGAGTTTCATTACGAAGGAAGAATCTTCGCGATTGTCACATGCATTTATATACGAGTTTAAATTGAAAATTCGTGTCTCGGAGTGTGTTGCTTCACAGGAAAATTTAACAATCAATGCTAAATTTATACGTTCATTCAATTGTGTTTAGATACCCATGTAGGAATTGCCAACAGACTTCCAGTAATACTACTAGGCCAACAATGGCCCAACCTTTATAGCCGATACTCGATATTGACAATTGGTCCAGTATTGTCCCATTTTTGTATTTTATAACAGCCCAATATTGGCCCGTTTGTTCACCAGTGTTCGGCATTCATATT